AACAGCATTCTGAGCGAGCATTACGACGAACCTGCCACCGTCCAACACGCCGCGTAAAACGATTAGCCGCCAAGGCTAATCTCAATAGTAATACCGATATCAATAGGCCTCATAACAGTACCCATAACACCAATGACAGAATCGGTCAGAATCATCCTTCTGTCATTGATGCTAGTGTAACGTCCCTGTATTTTTGCGAGTAGATTTCCGCTCTTAAATTTTTGTTTAGACTTTCTATTTTATCACTTATCGAGAATATCGCTTATTGTATGACTTGCGCTTGACACATGTCGCCAGAAAGACGCAACCCGAAACCTTTCGCGTCACATAAACCTCTTGTTGCCTTTCAAAGCGTACGACTGTAAATTATCTTTCGTCACTTTCAAAACTTGGGCCCGGATATCACCCATGGTTTTATGTAAACCATACCTCAAGCGTCCAATATTCTAAAGCGCAACTAGATCCATATGCGGTCTTATTGCATAGGATAAACCTTTGTCTCCAACAGTCCAGAGTGGTATAAAAACAGGTCCTGTAAAGCCGCCACAACAGTTCAGTAAAAATTAGTCAGTTAAGTTAAGTTAAGTCAGTTAGTTCAGTTAATTCAGTTCGGTTTGTTAGTTTTTTTATGTCGGTTTATTTTTGCGCGCTTAGTACTTAATCCGTGAGTTGCGAGTTCCATTCCTAGAGTATAAGTACCTATATCAGTTTTGCAAGAATTTGCATTTTATAAGTTCATTAAATTAATCATTTTATAATTCATTAATCTCGTTCACTAAAGTGATGTATTTCTATTTCATTTATAATTACATTTATTTAGTAAAATTTAGAATTCTATCTTTGATTTTAAACCCTTAAATGTTATTCCTATTTTTACGTGTTCTCCTTAAGTTGTGATAAATAATAAAAGACAGAGACGCGTTGTGCTGAAAATAACTCAAGTGAAATGAAATGATTTTTCGATAACAAGACAACAAGAGACAACGATTCACCTGAAGATTCATCTCTACACGACTACCATTGGAAGGTACGTATATACATATTTCACTCACCGTACTTGTATATATTTTTATCAATTATTAATGGAATTTTCTTATTGTAAATGAACGTATTTTTGCCACACCAGATGACGATTACGGTGCTCTTGACTTGCACAATCACGACGAACAGGACGACCAACTACCATTTCATCCAGTAACCACATCAAGTCCGATATCAAGCGAACGCATACGCGGCTCATGTTGCACGTGTTTGAACAAGACTACTACTCACATATTTGTGCCATGCGGACACTTATGTATTTGCAATGATTGCGAACAACAAATGGAAGATTAAAAATGTACCTGCCATTGGAAGATTGATGCCGATAAATAATGAACCATGGCCTCCCACAGCTAAATTGATCCCGCAGTGGTCTCAGGTATCATACAGGTTGACTTCAGTGAGTCCGTTCCAGATTCATCTTATGCAAAAATACTTAAAATTAAATCCGACCGAGAAATAATGCCAGATACTAAAGTAATATCTCCGTGTCTTCCTACCGGGTTCCCGGCTTCCGAGCCTCATACAAGCGAGAAGCGTGTACATGTGTTGCGCGGAACGCTTTGCGCAGCACATGTACGCGCTTCTTGCTTGTGGGAAACTCGGAAGCCGGAAGCTCGATAGGAAATATCGCATCCCTGCTGAGAACGGAGAAAGTTTTTATGATCAACGTGATCCGATGTTACTTCCTTAAATTTGGTCATTGTCTATTCGATATATTTTAATGGTATTTGGCGATTTTTTTTACGCGATTACTAGCGGAGGGCGTTACAAGAGGTAATACGCAATATACGCTCTAGCGTAAGACGTAAAATCTATCTAATAAGTGCGGTTAATTTTAAGATGTCCAAGTAAATTTATCATTAAAAGGCAAAATTAATTCAGTCTGCAATTATCCGCTTCTACTCGGCTCGGTTATAGGCCGCTTGTAAAATTCTGACTGCGTGACGGCGAAAAACTGATGATTACACGTTATTTACAATGTTTGATTACGATTTTATATTACGATTCTGTTATTATGATATTCATATTGCTATGGTTTTATTCTGATTCATTATTCGTCCCTATATGATTTATTATTCATTAGAATATGGTTCTAATCATTGTTTATATACGCTGTTTGCGGAGTCGCGACAATATATCGATGCGATACTGCTTCCCCTTATGATTTTATTTGAATTCCTTGTTGGTCTCTAAACGAGACATTATTCATTAAAATACGGTTTTGGTTACGATTTTATATTAAATTGTAACATTTATGTTTTCATAACGTTACCCCGTTTTCCTTTTTTTTTATTCACTTCTAAATAAAGCATTATTCATTAGAATACGGTTCTTTGGTTGTTACTAATTATTCTCTAAAGTTGACCCGTTTTACATACGCATTTAGACAATTTAAATATGCTTACTATAAAGAAATATATACTATAAAGAAAATATACCTTTAATCATTCGTTAAGAATACAGTTCCTGGATATAATATTCTGATAATTCAAATATATTTATCATTAAGAGACTTAAATGGTTTTATACGGTTCGTATAACCTATTATTATAATTTCAGTTATCTTATTTTTCTTCTATCTTTTACCATTTTCATCGGTTCATGAATCTTACCAATTGAGTCTCGCGTAAAAGTGTGAACACTACGTGTCACCGCCACCGCGCCGTGACGTGACACTAGCAATTGCAATCCTCATCCTAGTCCTTACAATAGTCATCATCACGTTAATCTCCTAGAAATTGTCCAACCCGGATCAAATCCCCCTGCTCCTCCTTTTTCTCCTGTCGAACCCTACCATTACTCTCCCATCGCTCCAGATTATTCTCCGGTAAATTTACCTCTTAGTGAGTCCCCGACTCCTTATTCAAATTTCTAATCTATATCTCTCCAGCGCGACCTCTCTACTCCTGAACCGACCTCATTCCTCTCTGGATCCTCTTCCGAGCCGTGTCTAAATTTTGAACTGCCTCCTGAATTACATCCGCCTACTCCGTCCACCTTTATGGAACCTCGTTCCCCTTTTCGTCCCCTTTCGAACGATTTCTTACCACCTTCTCCCTCTTCTCCTGTTCCTTCAATCAAATTCTTAAGCGAATATCCCGCCAAACCACAAACTTCACCCCCTCTTGATCATCACCGCTAACCTGAAACTTCCTCTCAGTATGACTCTAACGACCCCGATCCCGAAGAAAATTATTTCGAAATCCCTCCAATAAACAAATTCGCTTACATTAACCAGCTCCCTAAATTCTGCGGTCCGATCCCCACTGACTATCCCATTCTAGATCCAGGTCCCGTGATTTCTGACCATATTAGAGGAATCCTATCCCGAAGTCTTCACCTTTCACATTTCCTGGTGTACCATGAACACCGATTCTTTTTCGTTATCGTCCCTATTTCCGCCTTCGAGCACGTCTTTCCCCGATCCACAGCCACCTTAGAAGAAATCCCTTAACCTTCCCCCTCCATTACACGATATATACATAAACACATGTACTCACCTGCACACTCTAAACCAGCAATCCAAATAATCCGATTAATTTAAAACAAAAACTTTTACGTTGTATTTTCAAACAGCCTTACCATTTGTAACTGTATAATTTAATTAATTTTTTTTACATTAAAAATGATAAATTTATTATAATTTCGAATCCAAATTTTTTTTATTTAACCCTCGACATTCTATCTAATCCTTAAAGATTGCGCAGGTTCCGTCCCAGGTTTTTGTATTAATTAAACCAAAAATAATGCTTTTGTTACGTCCTACATTCTGCACTATCTTTTCCACTATATTGCCCATTCTTTGATCATTAGACTAATATACATCTTGTAAAGTTGCCGCCAACGTGCGAAAATCTTTGTAAAAGGTACACAACCTGAAGTCATTTGATTTTTTCTAAGCCGACTGAAAGTATAAATCGACTAGTTCATGATAGGAAAATGGCATTTCAAAATTTTCCTCGCAGCGCTTAACACGCGTCGTGTTTCTTCGTATCGTAAATTCGCGTGAGATTATTTTGAGTACGTGAAAATGGGTGAGAATTTAAGAAAAACCGTCGAGACATATTTACTACTGTGACGCGGTTTGTGTGGGCTCGATGTGAGTAGGTATTTATCGTTGTTATCCGACAACGATGAAATAAATTTTGAAGTGTTTGCGAAATTTGCGGGGGTGTGCCCTAGTGCAGTGCTAGCGGTGCTATTTCGCTTGAGGCATTTTGCCTCCTATCGGCGACTTGCAATCTACGCGGGTGAAATTATCGAAATAAGGAGTATTTTCGGTGATGACAAAAAGGAGGAAGATGATGCGGGTGGGCATATAGCCTTTCTATTACTTCATTTTCATCGATCGATTTCGGAAGCGAATAAAAACGGTAAGTTTCTTTCCAATTTTTATTATATATATATGTATATATAATTATAAAAAATTAAAAATAAAATTTTTTAAGGAGTAGAACATCGGAACACATCGCCTCACAGGATCGCGGGAGTGAGAGGAGTGCGGCGTATTGTACGCCCCGAAGAGCATACTCCTCCTCGCGGTATAAGGCGGCGGGCTGATACTTCACCAGAAGCTGGACCCTCACGTAAGTCTTAGCACATATTCTTTTATGGAAAATAAGTATTTCATATTGGTAAATTTGTAAAAAATAATGAAATATTAAATGTTTTCAGGACGTGCACGTATCGAGCTCACACCTGAGCCACCTCTTGTTAACTTGGATAGCAAGAGCGAGGAAGAAAAAGTTGGAACTCACGAAGTGAGTTCATTTGACGAGGAAGAGATTTTTTCACCAGGTGAGTAATGAGAAATTTATCGCAGTAAGAAAAAAAATAAAAATTTTTTATCCACCAAAAAACAATGGTGAATTTTTTAGAGTTTAACCAACGAGGTGAAAATACAATAATAATAGAAGATTCGGAGGAGGAGGAGGAGGAGGAGGATGAGGAGGATGATGATGAGGTGCAAGAGGAAAATACGGGGGAAGAGCTGAGTGGAGCGGAAGAACAGAACCTAGAGGAACTTTTGAGGGAAAGAGGTAAATACAATTATATATTTTTGCACAGATAACGCTTTTATACTCGAATACCTTTATTCTAATCGGACAAAAAATTTTTAGGAATTATTTTCCCGGAAATTTCTTACTCGCCGGAATATTAGTGATCAATGATCAACACGATCAACGGTAAGCAAGAAAGGGAATAATCCTGTATAGAGGTGAGAGAATTTAATATAAAATGTATTACTATTTTTAATTTTAACAACGCGTAAAATTCGAGTATAGAAGTGTAAAAACAATAATTTTCCAAATTTTAAAGATAAACTAATTTGTTTGTTTTCGATTTTTCCATATCAGTTCAGTGGAGGAGGGGGAGGAATGGAAGAAAATACGCAGCAGCAGCAGCAGTCGGCGGAAAATCAAGCCAAAGAAACCGACGACAACGAGATAGGAGTTCGTGGGGAGGAGAGACTGGAGAGAGAAGAGGAGAAAGAAGCGCTGTTTCCGGAGAATCAGGTTGGTGCGCCGGAACAGATCGCGAATCATAACGAGGAAAATTTTAATTATTTAGATTTAATAAGGAAAAACGTGCATGAGTTTAGAAATTTCGGTGTAGTAGAGAGAGAGGCTGATTTTCGCCTTCGACCATTACCAGAGGGGGAGAAGATTTACGCGTGGTTAGAAAACGCGTTTCGTGAGCTTCACGCGTACGCGGTACTTTCCTGTGTTTCTTGGTGATTACATCGGACTTAGTTTCGATTCCCCGAATCTTTCGCACGGGCCCGCGGGTATTTCGTTCCGACCATCTCGTGATTTGACTCACGAGAATATCTGGAACCTCGTGAGTTCGTTAGCTCAAAGCTCCGGGGGCTTAAACGTAGCGCAGGAATTCAACATCCGCGTTTTCCGTGTCACTCCTCCTACGGGTCGTGCGTGTAAACGCTCGATTTTAACGATATCCAACTCGGATAACTTATGTTTTCCTCACGCACTCGTAACGGCGCAAATTTACAATAAACGTGGTAATTTACGTACGGGTAATCTACAAGAAAGATGGAACGCCGTGAGATACTGACATTTCTCGTTACAACGTGAGCTGGCACGTGATTTAACGAGGAAAGTCGGTATTACAATTCCAGAAGAGGGTTGCGGTATTCGCGAAATCGAACATTTCCAGCAATATCTAGCCGCGGAAAACATCGCGATAATGGTCTATAGCGCGGAAACTTTTGGTCGCGGGGGTAAAGCCTTATTCGATGGAAATGCGATACTAGCCTCACTACATCGCGAACCGGCCTCGTGTTTAAACCTATTATATCACGCTGAATTATGACATTACAGCGTTATTTTAAATTAAAGAGCCGCCGCGGGTAGCCGAGGTTATTGCGTACCGTGTAACGTCGGTTACCATAGCGATGTAGGGGGACACCGATGCTCAAATAAATGCCCTCGGTGTTACGCGGTACCTTCGTGCGAGCGATTCGACGCGGAGCATATTCATTGCGAAAATTGTAATCGCGAATTTTTCAATCACGCGTGTCTTGAGCATCATCGTGCGCAAAAATCATACGATGCAATCGTCTCGTAGCACCGTATGTTTTTGCAAAGAATGCGGTCGTTTAATCGAGCGTTATAAACAACACGAATGCGGCGTAACTTACTGTTCGACGTGTCGTTCTCCCCAGCCGTTGAATCATTTTTGTCACATGTTTCCTTTCCCTGACAAAGCTAATTTCCGTACTAACGACACGGAGCACGTTTTGGGAGAGGGAGGAGAGCAACAACAAAACGCGGGTGAGTGCGTACTTAAAACAGAAAGTCGCATCGCATTCGTGTTTTACGATTTCGAGACGCGACAGGATGACACACTTCAAGGTACCGCGAGTGTAAATATTTACGTGCCTACACTTTGCGTCGCGCAACAGATTTGCGAAACGTGTGCCGAGATAGAGGATACTTCGGTGCGCTGTCGGTGGTGCGGTATTCGTGAATACATATTTCGTCGTGATCCTGTAAAGGAATTTGTAGATTTCGCGATACGTCTGACTAAATATTTTAAACACATAATTTGTATAGCTCATAACGCGAAAGCATTCGATGCGCAATTTATCCTACGTTATATTGTTGAGAGCGGAATCGCATTAGAACCGCGGGTAATCTTAAACGGGACGAAAATTGTAGTACTAACAGTGGGACATACGAAATTTATCGATAGTATTAATTATATGCCAATGCGTTTATCGGAGTTACCGAAGGCTTTCGGCCTGACGAATACTTCGGACAAAGGTATTTTTCCGCATTTATTTAATACTAACGATAATCAGTCATATGTCAGTCCGTGCCGGATATTCGATATTATTCACCCGATAGAATGAATACGAACGAGCGCGAACAGTTTTTAGCGTGGCACGCGGAAATGATTCGTACGAATTACGTGTTTGATTTCGAATGCGAGATATTGCGTTACTGTCGCAACGATGTGAATATTCTGAGACGCGCGTGCATGTCTTTCAGAAAGATTTTCTTGAAGTGCGGTCGCGTGTGTCCGTTCGAGGAATGCACAACCATCGCTTCCACGTGTATGAGGGTTTTTAGAAAAAACTTTCTACGTGAATGAGAAATTGGAATAATTCCACCGGGCGGATACAGACGCGCGAATACCCAATCGCGGAAGGCACTTCAGTGGCTGGTATGGAAGGAGCGAGCTCGGACATAACATCACCCACGCAGGACGCACTCGGGAATATCGTCTGCAAGACGGCACGCTAGTCGATGGTTATTACGAGTCGGTAGAAAACGGTATAACGCACTATCACGTGTTGCAATTCCATGGTTGTTTTCGGCACAGTTGTCCATCGTGTTTCAAAATTAATCGCGATAGGGAGCTAGCAGTAAACAACGAACGCGGGGATACGATTGATTTGCGTTACAAGCGTACCATCGCAACAACGTATCGTCTTTGAAGACGGGGGTACACGGTGATAGAGAAGTGGGAATGCGCCTTCGATCGCGAGATAACGGAAGATAGGGAAATGCGCGAATTTTTACAGAATCACCCGATGATAGAGATTGAGCCGCTCAACCCGCGCGATGCGGTGGACGCACGGGGAATATCGTGACGCGGTACGAGATTACGGGTACAGAGAAGATACGTTACGTGGATGTGTGTTCTCTGTACCCGTACGTACTGAAGACCGGAGTTTTCCCAATTGGACATCCCACGGTGTACGTCGCGGAGGAATGCTCGACTATAATCGGCATAGGTCCATGTTACAATTTTGATTCCGTCGAAGGTCTCGTGCGTTGCAGGTTGGGTTGCCAGATCTCCTATATTTAATAGGAGTCTCCTATATTTAGAACAAACCTCCTATTTCCTATGAAGGTTTGAATATAGGAGAAAATCTCCTATATTTCGACCTATATCTCCTATATATCTCCTATATTCTATATTCGCCTTATTGCATAAAAAATTCTGGTCCGTGAGTTCCGTAACGGGCCGTGACCGTGTACAGAAGGGGACGGAAATGCCTTCCCACGTGAATTGCTGCATATAGGGATATATATTATTTTAACAATATATGTAGCAATTCACGTGGGAAGGCATTTCTGTCCTCTTCTGTACACCGTCGGTAACTCGTAACTCGGTACTGCCGGTAGCCTTCAGCTTCAATTGTTCGATTGTCTTGTCACTTGAGAACGCCACTAAATACTTAACTTCTGAATTTTAATCCGCCATCAGAATATCAGAAATCGGAATTTACGTAAAATAATAATGGATTGTGATTGTAATAGTGACAGTGATAATGACATAGACGCGATTAGTAGCAGTAATGAAAGCGAACAGAAATCGTCGTCGAAGACAAATAAGAAAAGGAAATATAATTTCTCTTATCAAATACAGTGGGAAAAACAGTTTACATGGTTGTCTAAAATAACGAATAACAAGAGTAAGGCTAAATGTACTTTGTGCAATAAAGAATTTTCAATATGAAATCAAGGACTCTCACAAGTAATTAATAGAAAATTTGTTTTTTGTGTTAAAAAGGTTTAGATTAGCATTAGATATATATGGATATTATTATTGCAGGTTAAACAACACGAATTAACGCAGCAGCATAAAAAAAAGTGTTGAATGCAGAAAAAATAATAACTTAATAAGTAAATTTAATAAGTAAATGCAAAATAACAGCAATTTGGATTTTGCAATACTGATAACATCATTAGAAATTGGATATGTTTACCACAATGTTCGGCACAACTTGTCGTATAATAGCTTAGATTGCCAAATTAAATTGCATAGATATATATATATGAAATATCCGTATTTTAAACTTATTGGAAACATCCAACTTGGTAGAACTAAAGCTGAAGCTATAGTTAAAAAAGTTTTAGGCCCTAAAGCATTACAAGAAGTTCTAGAAAATTTGCAGTTATCCAAATTTTTCGCAGTGCAGACCGATGCTTCAAATATAAAAAATAGAAAATATTTTCCTACAACAGTCCAATATTATAATCCGAAAGTAGATGTAATGAATTGTTACGTCCTGATCAGACTTCACGATTCTTTTCTTTTCATTAAATACCAGACCTAGTAAACGCGGGACCAACAAAAACTCTTAAGAAATATTATAACGCCAGAGCTGTTTTTCTCATGAGACACCAGGAGCTCGGATCTTCTCTCACAGAGAAAAATAGCAAGGGCCATGGATATTTCAAAATACCTTGGCCGCTCAGCGTGCCTATCGTCGCCAGAAAAACCGTAAAGTCAAAACTTCGCGGTAGCTGAGGTCCTTAACCGACTCCAGACGGTTAGAGTAAGAGATAAAAAGAAAACTGGCACCAGCTAGTCATATTCTTGGATTCCTCCTACGGGAACCCTAGCTAATAGATAGGGTTTTACCGAGTAACGATCGGGGAATGACTGCCGTCGCATGCCGAGAAGGCGCGACACCTGATACGGCGCACGTGTTTAGTAGGTCTGGGAAACCGAGATGCATTAGTCGCACTCTCCACGCGACACCAAGGGCACGCGACAGTCGTAAACTGTCAAATTTATTAGATCAGTGGCCCAAGGCTTTGCGAACTTATATACCGATTTTGAACCATCCAATCCGAAAGCCGAGAATCGGGGCAAGCACCTCTATAGACCACCCATCATTCCATCGTATGGTCTAAAGACTACGCCCACCCAGATCTTAAGACACTGAGATGCACCCCACCTATACTAATTAACACCAACCGGGTTACGCCACCTCAAAAACCTACCCCCATCATATATGGACCCGAAACAACGCTATTCCTTATTCTTAGGGCCCCTTTCTTCCTATCTCATTTTAAGTAACCTAATCATCTAAACCCAATCCTATTAGCTAAAAATGACGCCATCCTCCCCCCACATTAAAAATCTTCTCGCAAGACTAATTCCTATTCGATCCCCGCTCCAAAAACCTAAGATTTTCCAAAGGGATCTACCCCAAAGAAAGGGTATAAAAACCCGTGTTCTGGTGGCTCCGGACACAATCACACACAGTTTTTC